GTTGGAGCTGAACTCTGCAGGACTGCGGCTCTCTAGGACCGAACTTGCCTACCCCTGAGATAGATGGATGGATGGATGGATAGATGCATGCATGGATGGATGGATGGATGGATAGATGCATGCATGCATGGATGGATAGATGCATGCATGGGTAGACGGATGGATGGAGTACAAAGCACATCAACCTTTTTAACCATAGTTTCCACCACATGGCTATTTTCTATTTTAGATGTATAGATAGATAGATAGATGCACGAATGGATAGAGTACAAAGCACATCAGCCATTTTAACAAGAGTTTCCACCACATCTTGCTATTTTAGATGTATTTTGTTATTGGATGGATGGATAGATGCATGAATGAATAGATATATGGATGTAAAGATGGGTGGATGGGTAGATATATGATAGATGCATGAATGGATGGCTGCAGAAATGAATGGATGGATGGATGGACAGATGCATGAATGGATAGATAGATAGATGTGTGGACTTTTACTGGAATGCATGAATTAGAGCTGGTTAAATTGTCACCAGCAGTTAGTGGATAAATCTGTCATGTGACCTGAGTGGAGAAGTTAAGTCATCTTGTCGGGTTGCTTCTGTACCTACACGACAAGTCTAAGGTTTGGACATACCTGCTTTTTCTTTATTATTACTGTTTCTCACATTTTTTGACTACTAGTAAAGTCATCAAAACTATGCAATAACAAAAAACAGGAATTACCGGTACTGTGTATAGTGACTACAGATGTTCAACATTAATGCCAATCTTCATCGCTCTGTCTTCCAGAGAGCAGATCCCCTATTCCTTCAGGGCACAATAGCAGCAGTGCTGCAGATGCGCTTGTGAAAAACTCCAAACTGTCTGCTGCTGCACCTGAGTTTGTCCCGGGCTGTTATGCATCATTCCAGGTGAGTCCATGTGGCTCTTTTTTGACACTCTTTTTGTGAATTTACTGTGGTATTAGTCTAATGTTCTCTTTTTTTTTTTTTTTTTTTTTTAGGATGTT